AAAAACTGTCCTACTCAAGGCATTTCAGCCAAAAGGCAACAGTAGCTATTAGAAGAACTATTTTGTTGATTATGTCCTTTATTGAAGACAAAAAAAAACAAAAACACATTTAGATACCAGTAGGTGAACATCAGTTTTAAAATAACTCAATATCTAATCTGGTGTCCTAGTTTTTCCACAGCTGTATGTGACTGTTTTCATAACACCCATGTACATGGGTAATCTAAACTGGCATTGCTATGTCAGCATGTGTCAGAATGCAGAGGGACCGTGTCAACAAATGTGTCACCGTGTGGCTTCTCTGAGGCCAGACAGCCACTCATACATCTACTAAGGGGAATATTTATCCTGTTGAATCAGCACTCTACAAAGAGTCAGCAGTGCCGGTTCAGTCACAGAAAGAGGACGACACGGGGGAGAGCCCAAAAATAGCTGAAAGAGACAAAGAGGTGTCTGGTGAAAGACATTTGTAGACGGACCGGAGAGACGAGGTAAGGCACAACAAACAGAGGGTCCATTTTTAAATGATTCAAAAGGTGAAAAACCATGAAGGGGTGGAGAGAATGAAAGAAGAACTGACCTAAAAGAACTATTGATGCAGTTTGATAAAAGAAAAAAACCTCATCATATATATCCATTGATAAAAGGTATGAAAAACAGGAACACAAATGCTTTGAGCTGAAAGATAAAAATATCTTTTCTCTTTGTTTGGTTGTGAATAACTGCTGGGAGCTTTTCTAAATAAAGAAAGAGAAACAAAAAATACACAAAAAAGCACTTTTTAAAGCCAGGCAACTGACCTATTACAAGCAACCAAACCTACCAGAACAGAAGTGATATTTAACAAAAAGAACTGCCGTAAATTAAATATTGCAATAACATAGCAAGTACCAGCTTTAAATTGAAAAAGTTTGTTTGTTTTTTCTTTTTTTAGAATTTATTTTACTGTGTAACAAATTTCTTCAATGTAATGAATGTATAATAACTGTAAATGGATCATTCATTCAAATCATTTCTACCAGGGCTCCTCTGCAATAGCACCGTTCCTAACTCGCAGTTTGTGAACAACTGCTATAAAAATATGAAGAAGAAAAAAATATATACATATATTTGTCTTTATATATTACTCTAGCTTTTCATTACCAAGTTAACAAACAGGAAAGTCAAAAATGAAACAAATCTGAAGCAACTTCTGAGGAAATTCGGATAAATGTCAGAAAGGCAGCAGCTGGGAAAACTAACAAACCGGCATCCTAGCAAGACATTGTCTTCGCGGTGTCCTCAGGCCAACGACAGCCTGGATTTAAATATATACAATAAAAAGAAAAAAAAGAAAAAGCACACTAAACTTCTGCCAGAGATCTGCTCGGGCCCTCCACATGTCATTTACATTACCCTATATGAGAGGTCACGGATTAGCAGATCGCAGTCCGGATCCACCTGCTGGCTAATCCGCAATTTCTACTTTTCATCAACATCCTTTTCATCAACATCCAGCAGGATATTTTGGAAAAGTAAGACTGCCGCCTACTTTTATTAGTGTTTATAAATGCAGAAACTATTCCATTCAAACTATTCCCATGATTTTGATGTTTCAAATAGGAAGAAGTTGTGCAGTTTCTGTCCAAATATCACACATCACATCATGTATAAAAGCACAGAGTCCATGTTATCAGGGGAAACCTCTGAGGGATTTCAGGAGGGAATTTTAAAACTTTAAAAAACTATAAAAAATGTGATTTTTAATTGTTTCTCTTTACTGTAAAATACAGGAGTTTTGCTTTTTTTTCAAAACAAGAAGTGGGCTTTTTAATTGTAAGTCGTATGTTTAAATCATCGTTTACTTTTCATCTTTTTGTTTTCAACTTGATTTTCTCCACATTTATTTTTGAATTTCTTTGTTGTATTTTATTCTATATTATTCCATTTGATGTTTTCTACTAATATTTTCCAATTTTTTCTTTTTCCAATCGAGTGTTATAGATGACGTTCTCTTAACTTCTTAGGGTGGATTTTTCACTCTGGTATGATGAGTGGAGATGAATTTCTATTGGTCTGCATGGATGTTAGCAACAACATTTCCATTAGCAAAGAGAAATTGTTTTTATTGGGTGAGTGAAGAGAATGTGATCTACAAAACTTAATTTTAAAAAGAACGGAACTCTGAAATCTAGGTACGAAAAGTGAAATTTGAATAAATATTTTTAAAATAAAGTTTGAAAAAATATGGAAAAAGACTGAAAGACTAATTAAGATTTGCGATTGAGCTGTGGTGAATGTATAATTATCCTGTTCTCTTGCCTGCAAAGACCAAATTAATTGCAGACCGAGGAATTATCACTGATCTACCTTTTTTAACTAAAGTTGCACAGTTATTTGAGGGAGTGGTGGCCTAGTGGTTGGGACAGAGAGCTTGGAATCCTGAGTTTGTTACTGTAGTTTGAGTCCCACTCTGGGTCACTGAGGAAATACCCCTAACCCCACACTGCTCCCCAGGCGCCCCACAAAGGCAGCCCAATGCTTTCGCAAGGGGATAGACTAAATGCAGAGATAAATTCCTCCAATGTCAGATTAAAAAAGTTCAATAAATGACATTTTTTTTTGTCTGTTAAAGTTAGACATTTGGAACAGGGAAAGTAATGAGATATGATCCAGTGATGTTGGTGTGTGTTTGTGTTTCTATCAAAAACAATAAGTTTGTAAAGAAGTGAAGCATCTTTTCCAAATTCAGAACGGTATCCAGCTCTGGCCAGGATCAGGAGTTGATATACCATTACACAAGACTAAGGATTACCCAAGGCCCCAAGTTCCTGCGGGTCCCAATGAACTCCTCATACAACATTTTGATACAGATATTAATTATTTACACACATTAATTGTGTCTTTGATTAAAATCCTTTCGTTAAAATCTGAACGTTTATCCTCCCCGCCCCTTCAGTCTTCACTACATTGAATCAGTCCTGCCAACTGTGCATGTGCAGAAACGATCCAGGAAGCAGGCAGCAAAGCATATAAAAACAAATCGAATGAAGAAAATAAGATTAAAAGAAATGACCCCCAGCAGTGCCAAAAAGAAGAGACTGAAAGGAGAAAATACAAAGACGATCGGTAAAGGGAAGAAGAGAAAATGTGGAGAAGAAGACAACAAAAAGGGACAGAAAAGTTTGTGAAAGGGGCATTGGACGGAGAAAAAAGGGGGAGAAATTCAAAGAGAAAAAAGAAGAGAAAAAAGAGAAACGGGACAGGAAGAGGGGGAAAGAAAGGTAAAAAAATAGCTTATGTGTAAGATTTTAAAAACTTACTTTGTATCTGTTGCTTTATGCGTTGTCTACTCATTTCAGAGGGGCCTCTGCCTGCATTCACTTTGGGCCCCAAATCTCTTAAGTCCACCAGTGGCCATGAGATCAACCTTAGTGGAATTTTACGCTCTCTTTGTATCCATTTATAGCTCCCTTTACTCAGATTAAACACATCCTGACAAAAAAGACTTCATAGAAAGTGTAGGGAAGCTAAACCCACAGTTTCCCCTTCATGAAATAAATGCCATCGGCATTCTGAGTAAGTTAACACAAATGGGTATAATGCAAAGAAAGTGTTTATTCCGACACTCTGTTGCTGTTCCTCCAAATGCTGAAGATGGGAAAATGTTTTAAAGACATTAAAATTCATTCAAAAGTGCTAAAGCTTCTCATTGCCCTCAGCCTGAATATGATTTGTTGTTTTTTTTCCTCAAAAAAAGAGGTTTTTATTCCACAGGTTCCATCAGGGGCTTCAAATGAGTAAAACATCACTGCTTACCCATCTCGGGGTGATGCCTTCCCTCAACAGGAACGCTGACTGTCCGGCGCAGGAGCTTGTTCCTGTGGGACTCTGAGCGCCTCTCGCGCATCAGCAAAGGGTGTACCTGGAAACCCAAAACACAAAATAAATATCAGAAAAGCTCTCTGAAAATGCTGCGTCCTCATTTCTCAACAAATCATAAAGTACAGCTAAAACAGTTTTAAACTTTTGGTTTTTTGAAAACTGCTGTGTTCCTCATTCCTTTACTGACAGAGATTTATGTCAGAATTAAAATAAACTAAACGACGTGTGATGTCACCTATCATAAATGAGACGTTCAGGAAAATGAAAGCAGAAATGTCAAATCCGGAAGAGGAACAGAAACATTGGTAATTTCACTGAGAACAAAGAGTGAAAGAACCATATAATAAAACTAGATCAAATAAATCACAGAGGCTGCCACATTTGGCCCCACAGTCCCTGAATTCATAAAAGTGTGACTAGAGGGAAAACAAATGGAAGAAGGTGAAAGTCTAATCAGAAACTCTGCTCCTTTTAAAACTTTGTAGGGAAATCCAAAAAAAACCCTGAAGAAATATTTAATTATTGTCAATTAATTGTCATATATGTAGATTTATATTCTCAATAAATGTATTAAATCTTCTGGTTCCATTCTAGCTGATTTTTAAGATACATTTTCTTTAAAGCCATAAATAAACAAACTACATCTTATATCTGGGAGCTGTGTGTCCCTTATGATCTGAACAAACAGCCAGAGGGGTCGTTGTTCTTTCAAGGGGCAGAGAAAAAAGGAATAAAACAAAATTAATTGGGCAACAAATATATTAAGTGAGCCATAGAGCCAAAGAACTACTTGCAGCTAATGATGTAGCAGATGAAAACGGATCCTATCTGAATATGGCTGAAGCTGAACATACAAAACCTTTAAATCACTGCTTAAGCAAAATTTAGGGATGCACGATATTGGGATTTTGGC